TTTCTGGATGCCCTTTGTTTCCCCCTTTCAAGAAAAGCCCTTTCTTTGCTTGCCTTCTCACATAACAGCCTGGGATTCTTGTCCCCCCCAAAAATGCATTTGAACTTGTGGGTTTGTTAAGAGTCAGGGCATGAAGCATTTTTCCATGGTAGAAAATTCTGGCATTCCAAAGCAGAACTAATGTGAGATTTGGGAAGGCTGCCCTATTTGTGCACTTAATTAGGGCTCCCCAAAGGCAGCTGATCCATTGGTGTCATAGGAAACTGACGGCAAGGCCGGCGAAGGCTGCAAATGTGTGAGTACCCAAGAGGGGGGCGAATGTAGATTCCACACCTGTTCCCCACTGCCTTGGATCAGGACTCAAGGGATATAAAGACAAGGGCTTGCCTGAAATGCTCATTTGGATCCCAGGCCTGATTTCATCGTTCTGTGTGTCAGCAGTGTTTGAGTCAAGTCCCAAAACACTTGGAGATAAAGGATCAGAGTTATAGGTTCTATTTGGATCTGTGAAATAAGGTCTTGGTTCTGAAGATCCGTGAAGTTGACAAAATTACAGTGGAAAAATTATAGACTTTAAAGACCAACCAGCCTGTGCTTTGAGTCTTACTCTGCCACCAGTAGATGGTGTCAGTTTTTGAAGAAGTTATCCAGTTATTTCCGAGATTTAGTTTTCTTCCCTATAAGAGGCCATACTAACACCTCTTCCATGGGTTCATTATCGTAACAACAGCTAACATTTGTTGAGCAATTACGGTGCGTAAGGCACTGTTCTAAGAGCATGAACTGTATTAACTCTTCCATCCTCCGTAGACCGTATGAGGTAAAGTCTGTATTAGAGGTTGGCAAACTGCTCCCCATGGGCCAATTTTTGCCCACTGCCCATTTGTGCAAATAATATTTTACTGGAACACAGTTATGCCCATCTGTTCGTGTCTACTCTGTGGCTTCTTTCATGCTATAGCTCCAAGGTTGAGTAGTCGAAACAGAAACTGTATGTCCAACCAGATCTAAAATATCTACTATCTGGCTTTGTACAGAAACAAATTTGCCAACCCCTGCTTTAAATTATCCCAATTGAAAGATGAAGAAAATAAACCATAGGCATTTTGGGGGGGCTGTGCCCCATAGCATGTGGAATCTTAGCTCCCCGACCAGGAATCAAACCCACACCCCCTGCATTGGAAGTGCAGCGTCTTAACCACTGGACCACCAGTGAAGTCCAACCATAGACATTTTAAATAGCTTAACTGAGGTCTTGCAGCTGGTGACAGATAGACCTAGGATTAGAACCCAGTATCCTGACTCCAGAACTTGTGACCTTCACCAGTATCCTACGTGTATAATAATATACATGAATTGCCCAGTGCAGTGCCTGACGCATAGGAGATGCCTGACACATCTGTTTGCTTAAGCGATCCTTTGCATTCCCCCACGGTTCTCCTTTTCCTTCTGCCTCCTTTTGCAGCTTCATATCAATTTCTATTGCCTTTTCCTTCTCTTCTGCCAGATTATGTTTTCAATTCTGCAGACTTCTGGGCAATTTTATACCCATTATCTCAATGCATCAAACAACCCTGTGAGGTCGGTATCATTATCTTCATTTAAAAGATGTAGAAACCACTCCCGACCTCTGAACTCTCAGGAGTTTTTACACTTCATTTGTTAACCCTCAGAGGAAACGTTGCTAGGAGCTTTGGGAACATTTATTTAATGCTGAAAACTAACATTAGAGAAAAAATCTCGACAGTTACTCGAGAAAGGATTACAATCTAATTGGGGTGAGAAAATAGTGTAAAATATTGGAACAACAGCAGGCATTTTTAAAGTTAAGTTATTTAGTACAGATCGTGCGTGGGTGTGAATTCAGGGAGCTGGGACAAGAGGATGGACCGGGGGTGTGGGGTGCAGGCAGGGACGGTTTCCAGGAGGCGGTTCAATGTCAGCTGGGCCTCTAACGTGGGGCAGGATCTTAAAAAGAGAATCTCAGATTTGAGTATCATGGGAGTGAGGAAAGGAACCACAGAGAGAAGACATAGAAATGGAAATGTCTCAAAGGGACAGGCCCAGCAAATCCCAGAGAACTCTGGCAAATCAGAATGAGTAAATAGGGAACAGGTTGTGTTTGACTTTGAAGGCCAGAGAGAGGGCCTTAGAATAATAGTAGTGCTAATTATGATAACACTTAGGTGCAGGATTGCTGACCCAGGCACTCTAGATTCCTACTCTCCTTTAACCCCACCAACCCTGCAGTGATATAGGTATTGTCCTATTTCGCAGGTGAGAATATTTGAGGCTTAGATTGTAGCAATCAAATGTTAGTGGGAAAATTAGAACTATTCCACAGGCCTAGTTCAAGAGCACAGGGCTTTTTGTTGTTACTTTTCTTCTGTGGATACACGTGCTTGCAGGTGGGGTTTTAGATATGCCCATACAGTATAATCTTAGGCTCTGCTGGTTAAATTGTTCTTGCTTTCTCTGATGCTATAATGTATTATCAATTGCTCGTGGACTCAGATGGAGAACACCAGGAATTAGATGCTCTACACCTGGACCACTATGATACCTCCCATCACAGGCACTAGGGAGCCATGGAATGCTTTTGAGTGGGAGATGCCATGATGAAAGGAACTACTCTGCCAACGAAGTCAGGCTGGATGAGAGCTGGGAAAGACAGGAAGAAGGAGGTAGTATGAACTCACAAGTGTGATATGCAGTTGTTAGTTCACCTTGGATTGAGCCACAAGAGCTAGGGTTTGGGGTGACTGAAGAGGACATGGCAAGAAGAGAAGGGTAGATTTATGGAGTCAGAGGGCCATGACCAGCACTGCTTAGACCTTACTACTAGACAGCCATGCTTGATGAACAGAGGACTTGGAGTCTGAAGATTTAGGTTCGCATCTTGGCTCTACTGCTAAAGTTGCACTGTGTGAAGAAAGAGGGAAAAGGGAAGAATTATATGCTGTTTGAGTTAGACAGCATCTCATATGTCTTCCCATCAACTCTGGGAGGTGGTAATAATAAGAGCAATAGGTAACATGTAAATACTTCTGTGTGCCAGCACTATCTGTGTTCTCTTCTAGCCATTTCTCTATATTTTTAATCTTCATAGAAACCCCATGAGATAAGGGGCATTGTTATTCCCTTCGGATAGATGAGGTGACTGAGGCACAGAGAGGTTAAGTAACATGGCTGTGGTCACACAGCTGGTAAATAGAGGAACTAAGCTTTGAACCCAGGCAGTTTGGCCCCCAGAGTCCATGCTCTTAGTCATTTTCACACTGTCTGTAAGGCATGTTTCACCTCGAGGAGTGTTCTGGGGGTAAGGTTATTCTATGTCATCCTGTAACCTGCACGCTGACAGTCCTGCCTCTGCACCACAGGGTCAGGGACCTCCCACTGAGAAGGCTTCCTACCACAGCCTGGTACTTCTCACAGCTGTCTGGAACCTTTCACTCCATCCTCCACCCAGACCCTCACACCCTGACCTCCTGGCTCCTGGCCACACCCATTGCCCTTGATTCTAGCTTCCCACCCCTGTAGGACTTGTGCCCCTGTACCACACCTCCAGCTCCCCTTCTCTGAACAATTTGTTTTTGTCCTTTGGACACTTTTACCTCTTTGTTCAAGGTAAGACTCTAGCACCGAGGTTCCTCCCCCACCCCATGCCAGCCCACACAAGTGGCATCCCCATCAGATTTGTACCAGCTTCTGGGAACAGGACCGGACAACTTATTCAGCCACTTTCTCAAGGGCTGGTCCCTGGCAGCTATACCGGTCCCACCTGTTTCCGGCCTGGTAGCTGCCAATCCAGCTAGATGGGGCTATTCTGGGAGCAGCAAGAAGACGTAGTCACCCTAGTTGAGTCTTCCTTAACAAAAGAAGTCGAAAGGCCTTTTGTTGTTGTTTGTTTGTTTTTGTTGTTGTTTGTTTTCTTAATGTGCATTAAAATTCTGCCCAGGATGCTATAGCAGTTAAGACATGGCCCCTGAAATCAGAAGGATACAGGTTCAAAATCCAGTTCTGCTGCTTGCTAGCTGTGTCATCCTAGGAAAATTGTTCCATCTTAGCTCTTCGTTTGTAAAGTGGAGCTAACAGAAGGCCTATCTTATGGGGTAGTCACAAGAATTCGGTGAAAGGATGTATGTGAGCATGTATCACATCACCTGACCAGCAGTAAGTGCTCAGTAAGTGGTAGTTACTATCAGCATTATATTAAGTATCATTATATAAAGTATCATTCAAGACTCCCTGGAGATAGTTCATTCAGACAGTTATTTACTCAACAGACATTTATCAGGAGGCTGCTGTTTGCCAAATCTATGCCAGGTACAAATATAGGATGTATGTTTATGAAAGGAAGGAATGCATGTTAATCACTTATTATAGGCCAGACACTGTTCTAGGCATTTTAGGGACATATTTCATTTCACCTTTTTTTTTCAAGTACATATTCATTATTTTAGTTTTTTAGTTTTTTAACCTTAGAAAGTATATATATATATATATATATATATATATATATATTTTTTTTTTTTTTTACAGTAAGTCCTTGTTGGTTACCTGTTTCAAATATAGCAGTGTGTACATGTCAATCCCAAATTCCCAATCTAACTGCCGCTACACTCCCCCATAACCATAGATTCATTCTCTAAGTCTGTGAATCTGTTTCTGTTTTGTAAATAAGTTCCAAAACAAAAAGATACAAATGAACTTATTTATATTTCATCTTGATAAGGGCTTTGCAGGCAGACATCATAATTGTCATTTTACAGATGAAGAAACTGAGGTTCATAAAGGTTAACTCCCCCAAAGACGTGGCCAGTGATTGAGTGTAGCCGTAAATCAACCAAGATATTCTGAGATCAATTCCCCACTATTGAGAGATCCACATTTTACTCTCATACTCATGCAATCGAATGCCTTTATCTATGCACCCACCTTTCTGGTTAAAAGGAAGTACAAAGGAATGTGTTTTTTATTTCATCCTTATTGGTACAAACCTCTGAAAGAGGTGAGAGCTCTGCGCCTGTCTTAGCATTCCAGTGATGAGCCTGGTGGGGACTGCCCTCCAATGATTGGGGATTTCGTCATCCTTCAGGATATCTTCTCTCCTTACATGGGACTAGAACTAGAGAGGGAGAAGGCAGCAGGTAAGGAGCTTATACTGGACTCACCCAAGGCATACTTTGCAAGTTATTTTGTTTTTTTTAAATCAGTCCCAGTCATAAGCTTGCTTTTTGGATCCATGCCTTATGCCTCTAGCCATTGAAAGCCAAGTATGTCAAGGGAAAAAAGGTCCTTCAGTTAGTTGAAATTTTATTCTGTTTCTACTTTGGTGGTTTGAAACTAATTACAGACTCTGGGTTGTGCCTATATGTCCAAAATGAAATGAGAGTTTGAGCCAATTGCTCTAATAACGAAGAGAGGAAAATCCACTTTTCTCTCCATTATCTAAAGATTTCAGGCATATGTGAGTTTTGTTTTTTTTTTTTTTAAATCGAATTATGTGAAAAGTTGGCCTCAAGCCTTCATTTCACTTTGCCTTTCTAGAAACTAGTCTGAAATTTTGTTTTGGAAAGGAGATGACATGCCTTAGACTGCTTCGGCGGGACTAGAGGGTCTTGTTGGAGCAATCGCAGGCTAAGAGATTTTGGTATTGTTATGATAAAATGTTTGTGTATGCTTGGGGGAGGGAGGTGTATTGCAAAGGATGACTCTTCATTTAAATTTTTTTTGAAAGGCTGGAGTACCTAAAATAAATTTCAAGATGAACAGTTTCCATTCATCTCACTTATTGATTCATTTATTTGGTCCTCACTGTTGCCTAGAAGGCCCGCCCGGCCTGGCTCTTCGCCTCGTGCCCAGGCCGCTCCATCTATCCTGGCCCTTTCACTCTCTGTCCATATACTAAACACACTCCCACCTCTGGGCTTTTAGACGTACAGTTCCCTCTCCATGGAATCCTCTTCCTTAGATATTTGCATGATTCATCCTCTCATCCCCTTCAGATCTTTGCTCAACTATCATTTTATCAGAGAGATGCCATTCCTGCCACCCTATACAAACTGCCTTGTCTACTCCTGTCATTCTTTATCCCTTATCCTGCTTGATTTTGTTTCCTTAGTACTTATCGCCATCTGACATAATGTATCTGTATATGTATATACATTAAGGTTCAGTCTTTGTGCTGTAACATTCAGTGGTTTTGACAAATGCATAATGTTGTATATACACAATTACAGTATCATATAGAATAATTTCAGCACCCCCCAAAAAAATCCCCTGTGCTTCACCTATTTAATCATCCCTCCCTTCTCCCTGAGCCCTTGGCAACTACAGATCTTTTCGTTACCCTAGTAGTTTTCCCTTTTCCAGAATGTCACGTAATTGGGATCATGAATAGGTAACATTTTCAGACTGGTTTCTCTCACTTAGTAATATGCATTTAAGATTCATCCACGTCTTATTGTGACTTGGTAGTTCATTTCTTTTTATTGTGTAATAATATTCAATTATATAGTTGTACCAGTTTGTTTATCCATTCACCCACTGGAGGACATCTGGTTGCCACTGGTTTTGGGTGACTATGAATAAACATTTGCATACAGGTTTTTGTGTGTTCTTAAGTCTTCAAATCAGTTGGGTAAATACCTAGGAACAAAATTGCTGGGTTGTATATTAAGACCATGTTTAGATGTGTTATAAACTACCAAACTGTCTTCCAAAGTAGCTGTATTATTTTGCATTTCCACCAGCAAAGAATGAGAGTTCCCATTACTCCACATCTACGTCAGTGTTGACATTGTCAGTTTTGCAGATTTTGTCTATTCTAATAGTTATGTAGTGGAATATCATTACTGTTTTAATTTGTAATTCCCTGACGGCAAATGATGTTGAGTATCTTTTCATATGATTATTTGCCACCAGTCTGTCTTCTTTGGTGAAGTTCATATCTTTTGCTCATATTTTCACTGGGTTGCTTGCTTTATTATTGTTGAATTTTAAGTATTCTTTGTATATTTTGGATATAAGTTCTCAGATATATGTTTTACAAATATTTTCTCCAAGTCTGTGGCTTGTCTCTTCATTCTCTTAAAATTGTCTATCACAGAGCAGTTTTTAAATTTTAATGATCCAGCTTATCATTTTTTTCTTTCATGGATTGTTCTTTTGATGTTGTAGCTAAAAACTCGTCATTAAACCTAAGGTCACCTTGATTTTCTCCTGTGTTATCTTCTAGAACTTTACAGTTTTACGTTTTACATTTAGGTTTATGATCCATTTTGAGTTAAGTTTTGTGAAAGGTGTAATGTCAGTATCTAGATTTTTTTTTTTTTTGCATGTGTGTGTCCAGTTTTTTCAACACCATTTGTTGAAAACACTACCCTTTATCCTGTTAATCGACTTTGCTCCTTTGTCAAAGATCAATTTGAATGTGTTTGTGTGGGTCTACTTATGGGCTTACTCTTCTGTTCCATTGATCTATTTGTCTGTTCTTTCACCAATACCACATTATTGTGATTATTATAGCTTTATAGTAAGTCATGAAGTCAGGTTATGTCCATCCTCTAACTTTGTTCTCCCTTAGTATTATAGTGACTAATAAGTATTTTGCCTTTCCATATAAGTCTTAGAATCATTTTGTTTTGTTTATGGATAGCTTGCTGAGTGTTCAGTTGGGACTGTGTTGAATCTATTGATCAGGTTGGGGAAATTTGTCATCTTAACAATATTGAATCTTCCAATCCATGAATATAGAATATCTCTCCGTTTACTTAAATATTCTTTTTCTTTCATTAGAGTTATGTACTTTTCCATGTATAGATTCTATACATTTTGTGTTAAACTTATACCCAAGGACTTTGGTTTTTTACAGTATGCTATTGTAAATGATTTTAACTTCAAACTCCAATTTTTCATTGCTAGTAATTGGTGGGATGTAATTGACTTTATATATTAACCTTGTATCTTGTGACTTTACTATGTTCCCTTACTAGTTTAAAAAGGTGTTTTGTTTATTTTTTTTATTCTTTGAGGTTTCCTACATAGATAGCCATGTCATCTAAGAATAAAGATAGTTTTATTTCGTCCTTCTCAATCTGTATGCTTTTTTATCTGTTTTTCTTGTCTTATTGCACCAGCTAAGAGCAATACAATCTTGAATAAGAGTGGTAAGAAAGGACATCTTTGCCTTGTTCCCAGTCTTTAGGGGGAAAGCATTCAGTTTTTTCTCATTAAGTATGATATTAGCTGTAGAGTTTTTTGTAAATGTTCTTTATCAAATTGAGGTTGTAGAGTTTTTTTGTAGATGTTCTTTATCAAATTGAGGATGGTCCCATATATTCCAAGTTTGCTGAGAGTTTTTAATCATGAGTAGGTGTTGGAGTTTATCAAATGCTTTTTCTGCATCTATTAATATGATTATATGAATTTTATTCTTTAACCTGTTTATGTGGTGAATTACACTGATTGATTTTTATAAATGTTGAACCAGCCTTGCATACCGAGAATAAATTCTATTTGGTTGTGGTGTGTAGTTCTTTTTATCCATTGTTCAATTTGTTCAATGAAAAATCAGTTTCATTGATTTTTTCTGTATTGTTTTCCTGTGTTCAATTTCACTGATTTGTGCTTTTTATTATTTAGTTTTTTTTCCTTCTTTTTTTTCTTTTTTTCTTTGCTTAATTTAGGCTTAAATTGCTTCCCTGTCTTTGGGCTTCCACAAGAACTCCTCCTTAAATAGAGCCTGCATCTTGTAGCTCTTTCAGTTGTCATCCACTATTACTACACTGGAGCCCTGTTTGTATCATTTTAAGGTGTAGGGAAGGGAAACAGCCTAGAATCTTTTGATTGAATCCTGGGCCTATGTCCTTGGGTTGTGACCTTCACAAATGTTTCTTACCTTTTTTCCTCCCTTGTAGGTGAGAAAGGGAGACTGGAAGGAGCTAGAGTTGGAGAGGTGTCCTTCCCCTGGGTGGGGTAAGGCTCTGGTTAAGCCTTTTACCCTTAAAAGTAGGCCTTTGTTATAAAGAACTCTGGCATATTTTCACAGTGTTTCCTCTTTTTCACTCCTGCTGGAGCCAGTAGGGGATCATTCTTGCCTCTTTACAGTGAGAATCTGGTAGGCTTCCTGGAGGTAAAACCCATGAAAGGGTGGGCCTCCCAGTAGACTGAAGCCCCAGAAGTTTCTCAGTCTCATGCTAGTCCACGCTCAGCCCCCAGCACTTTATCAAAATTATCAGTTAAATGTCCCTACCAGTTTGTGGCTCCAGTGGCTTCTACTCTAGGTAAGAAGATCTCAACTGCAACTCTCTAGAATTATCCTGTTTCTCCAGATCTCAGGGTGGTGGTTTGCTCTGTAACCTCAGTTCTCCAAGCAATCCAAGACAGATCAGTGATTTTCAGTTTGTTAGCTCTCTTCTTGTTATAGGAATGGGGGTAATGACTTCTAACTCCTTTACACAGTTGAGCTGTAACTGGAAGTCTCTCTGTGTATTTCCTTAGTGTATTTCCTGATACTCTTACAAGGATGTAAACTTATGAAAGCAGGAGCTATGTCTGTTTTATTCACTGGTGTATCTTCAGTAGCTAAAATAGTACCTGACTCAGAGTTGGTGCTTAATAAATATTTGTTAAATGCATTGATTAATCAGTTGATACTCACTGAGCACATCAATATACTAGGCACTGTGCTTGGTATGGAGATAACAACAGTGAAAAAGGAAGATCCCATGTGTCTACAGTCATTATTACAGTGGCGGTAGGGGGTATGGTGGGCATATACCTTAAATGGAAATAACAATAAACTACGGATTAGAGGATAGGGAGGTACTGAAGCATAGAGGACACCTACCTAAACTAACCTAAGCAAGAGGGAGGAGGAAACCACCAGAGGAGGAAACCACCATGTGAGTTGACTTGTAAAGAATGAATAGCTTCTAGCCCATACGACGGAGGGTGATCCTGGCAGAGGGACAGCATAGATCCGATGAAGTCCATGTCGGACAATGTGCAAAGTGATTTTCTCCCCCACCTCATGTAACGTTTAGTGCTCCACATAAGGCAGGCACCATTAACTCATTTCACAGATCAGAGAGTTTAAGTGATTCGACGGAATGTCACCAATGCTGAGTAATGAAGCAAGTCCCTTTGAGTCCAGAGTCCACTTTCTTCCTGCTACAAAGATGACTAAAGCATGAATTCAGAGCCTGGTGGAGGAGCCAAACACATAAACAGATCTTTCTGGTAGCAGTGCTCCCTTTGAATTTGCTTCATTGTTGTTTCTCTTTAAGACTGCAGCCCTAGAAGTAGTGAGTTGCAAATCAGGGCTGCTTTGCAAATGCCCACAAACCACTGGGGGGAGTTTTGTCAAAGAAGGCGGGAAAGAAAAATAAATGTGAGTTTCTGCTCTTTAAACCTCAGCCCAGTGAGGCAGACTTCCTGGAATACTTCAGGCCGCTTCAAAGGCCTATTGTGGGAAGTCTCCAGATGTGCCTGAAAAACCTCACTGGGGAGCTTCCCAGTGAAGAGGCCTTTTAAGTTTGAACTGAGATGAAGGAAGTTGACGTGATGAGTCCTACCAGGTGGCCCGTTTTCTGAAGGCGCCCAGATTCCACCATAACCTTGAGAAGGCGGGGGGGGGGGGGGGGGGGGGGGGGGTGGGGATTAGCCAGTTCAGATGCCTTTGCCAAACAGTGCATCTTTTTTGATTGTGGGCAGCAGGGCTCTTTTTTTTGCTGGAATCAGGGGTGGGGGGCATTCACCAAATGATTTATCTACCTTTAAATTGTTAGTGACAGCCTGGTCATTCCTCCGGCATATCTTGGGAGGGCTGGGAGGGATTTCAGGATTGGAAAAAGTCGAGGCCCTGAGTGATTTGTGCCAGTTCTTACAAATGATGCCTCTTGCCATTCTGAGAGCCAGCATCCTCTGGGTTCTTGCTCAGAGGCTCTGCCCTGAATCTATGCTTAAGCTGTCTACCCAGTGCACTGTCTGGCCTCGGTTCGAGACCCCATCTTCTTCTTGCTAGACACAGTGGAGTCAGAGAGACCCACGTTTAAATCCTGGCTCTCCGGCTCGCTTTGTCATCTTAGAGTAATTTCAAATTTTCCAGGTCTCAGTTTCCTCAGCTGTACAATGAGGGAAACCTAGTCCCTGCATCATCCTCTGGCTGTGAGGAGATGAAAGGCTGAGGTGATGCCCTCACGGCACCCGGCACAGAGCCTGGCACAGAGTAAGGACCCAGTCTGTTTTTATTCCCTTCCTCTTCCCTCCAGTCGTAAGGGAAGATGGGGGCTGTCCCATTTGGCCTTTGAATGTTCCTTCTGTAGCTCTTTAAATCCTATCCCTGCCTGGTCCCTATGAGCTTAGCTAAATATTTTGAGCTCACAGTGTATTTAGGGGGAAGTTCTTTTGGCTACAGCTAAAATTAGGCCTCTCTTTTGCTCCTCTGTTTACCACCCCCCCTTCCTATTTTAACTAATTAGAGGCATTGACACAAGAAACACTTGAGAAAAGTTGGGAGAACAGCTGGGAGTTGTTCTGGATACGGGCAGCTGCTCCCTCTCAGCGTGCAGGCACGGAAGAGGATGCTCCTGATCGGGAAGCAGGAAGGGTGCCCTGGAGAAGATGGAGGAATGCCAAAGCCTGCCTGTGGCTTGGCAAACAGCAGGGTGTGCGTGTGGGGAGGGAGGGAGTCTTATTACTGTGTCCTCTACCTTCTGCTCAAAGAAGGGGGGAGGGGTGGTTCAGAAAGAGCAGCAGAGACAGAGCGAACGAGGGGAAGAAAGAACCGAAGGGAAGGAAGGCATTAAGAAGTTCAGCTAGGTGGCTAGTTATTTAGTTGTTTATTTCCTGCAGAGGGCTGTCCTCCCACCTGGATTACTACTGGATTCTCCCAACTGGTCTTCTCCCGACTGCTCTCATGCTCCAGGTTGCTCTCCCACTGGAACCAGAGAGGGTGTGGGAAAGTGCAGATCTCTTCCCCTAAAACTCTGCAATGGGTTTCCACTATGGAATTAAGGAAAAATTTCAGAACCCATCACATGGCCCCTGAGCGCCTGGGATGCCCTCCCCCTCCACCCCTG